ATAGACTGGTGGGTTTTCGGACACGGGCTACAAGATGGCTATCTCAGTTTCAATCCCCATGTTAAAGGTGGCCCTTTTCCTTTAAAGGGACCCTCCCACCTTCAAAAAAGTTAATGAATTGGCATGAAAGTGATGTCGCTCGGTTCAGACAGAGCAAAAACGAATATCTACCAAATTTCATCAAAAAATATTCACCGGTTTTCAAGATATTAGACTTTTACTTTTGTTTACTTTTTGGGATCTCCGCTGTTCCTAGCGACTTTATTTAAAAGTGCGGCATTTGTTGCGCGCAAAGCAGCATATACCACCGCGTGCTACAAAACGTTTTAGTCAAACTTAATTACGGACGTTCGAAAGCCTGATGACGTCATCAGATTCCCGTAATGGTTAAGAGATAGGGACCACGCTGGTCCCACCCTGCAAGTAAAGGGAAGAAATTTCTTGAACACCATAAAGCTGCGGGGGTTGCGACCAGGATAAATGGTGGTTTCTGAGCCTGGCCGCAAACTTGGCTATCTCAACTCAAAACTAATGTTAAGGTGGGAGGGTCCCTTTAATGTTCAAGTGCGCCAGCTTTCATCTCTATACCAGCGCCTCCGAGCAATTACCTTAAAAAAAAAAAACGTCGAGGGCGACACCCGAACCCCCTCTTCTCGGTGCCGAGGGCTAGGGGGTAGTGCTTATTAAGGGAGAATGGCTGTGCTATTTGACTGTGCCATTCGAGCCCTACCAACACCTGTGATGAACCGACGCCCGGTGCGAAAGGAACATCGGCGTTCTCGGCCAGTAGCGGCGGAACACCTTCAATTAAGGGGGGGGGGGGCACTGCCGACTTAGTCCCATTCTAAATTCTTTCCATGCAACGCCCATAGGGCTAATGTAAAAAAGTCAAAATCAAAGGGGGCACGGTGCCCCGGTGCCCTCCCCATTCCGCCGCCTATGTTCTCGGCAAAGTTGCCAATGATTTGCAAAGTTTGAATGATTCAATGCATAATGCCAAGTCCTTTTGGCTCCTGCGAGATGTCGCTAGCGCGTTGATGAAGTTCAATATAGAGGTCACTAGCGTCGTGCCATGAAACCCAAGATTACTTTCATGAAACCTACGCAGCTAACGGATGGGGCTGCAGACAAAAGTACGCCAAAAGTACGTCGTGACCGTGGTCTCCGCTGCTAAGCGACAATCAAAAGGGACATTGCTCAGCTTGTTTGGCGCACGTGTGACAGCGGCGCGGGGCGCGCCCAAATCGGCCGCGCCTTCGCTGCGGTTGGCCCACAGCGACCGCACGAACTCTGCGGTTATAACAGCAGCCTACGTCACACACTGCTGGCGCGACTCGAGCTCCTATTGGACAAATTCACGTGGTCTCCGTTGCTAGGCAACAATCTCGTCCATCAGCCAGCGTATGGATGGTGGCAGTGGTTTTGTCGGGTCGGTAACTTTTTTGTCTGCGTTTTAGATCACTTTGTAGCCCCATTAAAAGAAGAAATATCTCACTTTTGTGGTTGCCCATAGTAAGCGCACGGCAGCCTACGTCAGCAGCCTGCGTGCGTTTCTCGGCCTCTCATTGGTCAACAGCACAGTCCTATCTCTTCAACACAGTAGCCACCTAGTGGGCTGTTGGGGAAGCTGTTTTGACAGCAGCGGGCGAACAGAGCTCGGAGCTCTGTTCGCCCGCTGCTGTCAAAACAGCTTCCCCAACAGCCCACTAGGTGGCTACTGTGTTGAAGAGATAGGACTGTGCTGTTGACCAATGAGAGGCCGAGAAACGCACGCAGGCTGCTGACGTAGGCTGCCGGGCGCTTACTATGGGCAACCACAAAAGTGAGATATTTCTTCTTTTAATGGGGCTACAAAGTGATCTAAAACGCAGACAAAAAAGTTACCGACACTACAAAATCACTGCCACCATCCATACGCTGGCTGATGGACGAGATTGTTGCCTAGCAACGGAGACCACGTGAATTTGTCCAATAGGAGCTCGAGTCGCGCCAGCAGTGTGTGACGTAGGCTGCTGTTAAAACCGCACAGTTCGTGCGGTCGCTGTGGGCCAACCGCAGCGAAGGCGCGGCCGATTTGGGCGCGCCCCGCGCCGCTGTCACACGTGCGCCAAACAAGCTGAGCAATGTCCCTTTTGATTGTCGCTTAGCAGCGGAGACCACGGTCACGACGTACTTTTGGCGTACTTTTGTCTGCAGCCCCATCCGTTAGCTGCGTAGGTTTCATGAAAGTAATCTTGGGTTTCATGGTTCGACGCTAGTGACCTCTATATTGAACTTCATCAACGCGCTAGCGACATCTCGCAGGAGCCAAAAGGACTTGGCATTATGCAGTGAATCATTCAAACTTTGCATTTGCAAATCATTGGCAACTTTGCCGAGCCGAGAACATAGGCGGCGGAATGGGGAGGGCACCGGGGCACCGTGCCCCCTTTGATTTTGACATCTTTACATTAGCCCTATGGGCGTTGCATGGAAAGAATTTAGAATGGGACCAAAAGTCGGCAGTGCCCCCCCCCCCTAATTGAAGGTGTTCCGCCGCTACTGGCCGAGAACGCCGATGTTCCTTTCGCACCGGGCGTCGGTTCATCACAGGTGTTGGTAGGGCTCGAATGGCACAGTCAAATAGCACAGCCATTCTCCCTTAATAAGCACTACCCCCTAGCCCTCGCCACCGAGAAGAGGGGGTTCGGGTGTCGCCCTCGACGTTTTTTTTAAGGTTATTACTCGGAAGGCGCTGGTATAGAGATGAAAGCTGGCGCACTTGAACATTAAAGGCGGATCTTCACACCGACCACATTATTAGGTCAGGTCAGGTTACTGACTTGGGACGTCGTAAGTGAACCTCTGGATGGCCCTAAAATGTCGCAATTTAGTCCGAAATGGCGAGGGGCGGGGAGGGCAGAGTCCATCTACCCTCCCCCTAAACGGCATCTGATGAAGAAAACCGATAGGTTCGGCGAGAATTAAAAATGCCCTAATTATTGCCGAGTCTAGGCAGTACCATGCCCACGATCACGACACCCATCTGTTCATATGCCCATCGGTGAATAACGCGTGTCAGCATGTGTCCGGCTGTTATTGCCTGCGGTTACAGGTGCGTCATCAACGTAACAAAGAAGTACGACGCTTGTGATATCTATCCTGAAGCACCATAAAATGTGACATCCGTAAAATGTACAATAGAATAGTTAGTCATTACCCATGTAGAACACATTTATGGTGAGTGGTGACATTTATTTCCAGATAACAAATTTAACGAGAAGGATAAGGCTATGGCCACTGGCCAGTAGCCTTATCCACATGGCCACATGCGAACAAAACAACGTCACACAATGAAGCAATGCTAAAAATTAAAGGCTGTTTACAAATATCTACAAATAAATCACGCCTGACATGTGTTCAATTGTTATATAACGAGCTGTGCGATGTGCAGTATCAGTGCCAGCAGTGTGGCCAGTGAAGCATCAGGTTCACTGGCCGTCTGCGACGAGCGCCAGGCCTCCTGCTGGCAGGCCAGCGAGACGGGTTCCGAACCTCAGGGACCACAGCCCGGGTCGTCGAAACCATCAGGCAGGGCGAGGATGGAAGATGAGCGAGCATATCGGCGCGATAGGCTTCAGTCAATTGCTGAGTGGGACCGAGGGCGTCCGTCCGTTGAAGACAGGAGGTCGACGGACTGCAAACAGCGTGCGGCGGTCTTCTCAAGGCTGTCCGATGGGCCGCTGGCCCTAAGCAGCGATAAATCACCTGCCAAGAAAACAAGGGATCAGAAAATTCACTCCCTCCTTTAAAGTCCAAAATGCTTATTGCTCAAGCACCTCAGGGTCAGAGCCTCAGAGGAAGCAGTAATAGAGGCCTTCAGCAACCTCACCAAGCTATTCAGAGTGATAACAGGATGATGCCTCAGGTCTGAAGACTTTACCGGACAGCTGGCGGAAGGCATTTTCCAGCAAATGGTCAAAGGCCTGCAGTAAATGTTCTCATGAGCATGTGCCATATTTTTGTTTGGATTGATGAGAGCTGTTTATTTATCATTCCATATGTAAACCAGTCCGTGCAAGGTTCTGAACAACTTTTTATAATTTCATCATTAAAAATCAAATTGAATATTAAAAATTGTGGCATATAAGTAAGCTTTCAAGCTTCACGGTCCGGGATACACATCACCAACAATCACTACATGTACGAGTGCTATGAATTCAGTGCCTTCTTGGGAATATTTTCCTATATTTAAGATAAAAAATTACATGAATAGGTATGCCAAGATAAAACACAAGGCAATAACAATAATTTGAAGGAAGAAACAGCAAAAGTATCACCACACAGTACCTACTTATAATAAATATTTGTGAACATAAATTGGGAAATAAAATGACAATATTGAGTGGCCAAGTATTGGTATTCTACAAGGTACCTAAATGCTTACAAACTTCAGGGGACAGCAAATCTAATGAAGCAAAATATTGCATTTTAGCACACATATTCTGACACAATCAAACACTAAATTGAAATGCTCTTCTATGAAGTAGGTACTCCAAAACAAAAACAAAAACGCAGATAAAATCGTTTACAAATAGAAAATGAACGTTCTATGCCTGTCACCTATGGCTGAACAAATAAACAGCATATAAAATTAAATAACACAAAAAATAATTTTTCAAAACCGAATATGTATTTAAACTCGCACCGAAATAAAACCGACTTCGCAAAAACAACGCTCGGCGGCCGCCCCCCGCCGCTCCCTCCCGCGCTCCCTCTCGCTAACGACTCGCCGCTGATACATTTTCCACAACAAATCCCAGCCGCACGCGACAACTCGCACGCGCGCCGTGCACCGGACGCGCCTCCGCACAGCGGCAACTACACCTCCCCCTGATCCTGAGGATCATTTACATCCCTCACAGAAACATCCTTGCGGAGGACGGCGGGTGCGCTGACTTCGCCGAGGAGCCACGGCAGGAGGCTCCGGCGCTGGAGCGTCGCATAACTCCGGCCCCTGCTCAACTGGAGCCGGCTGGAGGACTGGGAGAGACGGGGGATCCATCACGTAGATGGGGTCGTCCGCGTCAATTTCAGCACATGGGGGCGGCTCACTATTTCTGCGCCGCAAATCCCTGACGTGTCGTGGCATACCGTCCACATCGACAACCTGCGGAGAGACCACCGCCGTGACGGTACCCCGGCGGGACGGCTCCGTGCAGCGCGTCCCACGGCGGCGCACCCACACCGCGTCTCCGACTGTGTATGGGCCCGTCTCCACCGCAGGGAGCTCCCGCGCCCCGGCTCCACCGTCCGCGGCCGTCCCTGGCGGAGCAGCCGGCAACCGCACACAGTCACTCGGCTCGTACCTGTACACGCCACAAAACGGGGCGCTGGCCACCGCCTCGCCGTCACGCGGCGTCACGTTATACAAGTGTACCGCCTCGGCGATATCGCACCGTTTCCGGGCGGCGATCACTTTCACTGTCCGGTGGCAGCGCTCGATGACACCGTTCTCGCTCGGGGCATGGGCCGCCCGGAACCTCACCGCCACTCCCCAGCGCGCGGCGAGCACGGCAAACGGTCGGCCGCGGAACACAGGATCGTTATCACACAACAGCTCCGCCGGAGCTCCTCGATCAAAAAATATCTCCTCCAGCCGCTGAATAACGCACACACTGTCCTGCCGTCGCAGCGGCCGCCATACAGTGAACCGCGACGGCCCGCAGTCGATTACACTGAGGTACGGATGGCCCCCATAATGATTTATATCAATGGCCAGTCTGTGCCACGTCTGTGGTACACCCAACGACCCGTGTCGCCACTTTACTGGAGCCGGGTCGATCGCTCGACAGACATCACAATTTGTCACCACGGCGCGTACCTGGTCTCTCGAGACGCGGCCGATACATCGGCGAGCAAAATACAATGTCCGTCGGACGCCCGGATGACCAGCTCGCTCGTGCACTTCAGCCACGCTCTCTGCACCATCGAGGCTCGCGTTTACAGCGGGCGGCTCGCCCGCTGTGGCCGCGCTTACTGCCGACGGTTCACCCACCGCGGCTGCGCTCACTGCCGGCTCGTCCGCGGCAGCTACTCCCACTGCCGACAGCCCGCCCGCTGCGGCCGCGCTCACTGCCGACGGCTCGCCCGATGCAGCCGCGCTCACTGCCGACGGCTCGTCCGATGCAGCCGCGCTCACAGCGGCCGCACTCACTGCCGGCGGCTCGCCCGCTGCAGCCGCACTCACAGCGGCCGCACTCACTGCCGACGGCCCGCCCGCTGCAGCCGCGCTCACAGCGGCCGCGCTCACTGCCGACGGCTCGCCCGCTGCAGCCGCGCTCACAGAGGCTGCGCTCACTGCCGACGGCTCGCCAGCCGCGCTCACGGCTGCCGCGCTCACTGTCGACGTCAGATCGTCTCGGAGCCACTCCCTGGGCACTCGAGTCAGTGCATCAGCGCGATTATCCGCCGATCGAACGAGCGCCACGGTCAGACGGAGCTCCAGCTCGATGACCAGCTGACGGATAATCGCCACACGCCGTCGGATGAGCAGCTCACCGCTGGCTTTAGTACGGAGGCGCGCGCGGCCACTGATCGCGTCGTCGATCCACCGCTTCACCGTCACCGAGTCGGTTCGGAGGTCGATACTCCGTGCGCCCCACGCAACAGCCAAGTTAATACCTCGAATAGCGGCATCGAGTTCGGCCATATTTATGTGTACAGCGTCGTCTCGCCTGAGCCAGCATGCGTCCTCGATCACCTCACCGTCTGTGTTTTCCAGGACCACTCCGGTGGCCAGCGAGCTGGCGTCTGTCCAGGCGACCACCTCGTCCCCGTCGACACACCACACGCCACGGGCCGGGTCGTCACTGGCGAGGCGACTCGCGATACAGTCCATCTGCACGCGCAGCGCGGCGTCATCAGTGATGTCGTCCCATCCGCGCGTCAGCTCATTTACACGCCGCTTAAGCCATGCGACCGCGGGTCGAAGCCACCCACACACTGGTACGTGGGCCACTAGCTGTCCGCACCACGCGAACACAGATCGGCGAGTCACACGTTCTGGCGGCGCGCTCACGGCGTTGTCCCGCTTCCACCGCAGCTGCCCGTTCTCCTCGTGCACCCGCAGGCCCAGGAGCCGCGCTCCACTGGCTGCCCGCTCCGGCGGCTTACAGTCCAGCCCAAACTGCGCGAAATGCGCCACCACGCGCTCGGCACTGACAATGTCCTCATTTACAAGGAGATCGTCCACATATGGGAGGACGGCACGCCCGATGTCGGGGTCCTGATCGAGCACAGCACGCACGACAGCCTTCATCACGAGGGGCGCGATATTCAAACCAAAACCTAGGCGGGTCAAGCAGAATCGCTGCCCCCGCACCATCACCGTCTGAAACGGCCAGAGTCGCTCCTCCAGGTGCAGCTGGAGGTAGGCACGCTTCAGGTCCACGACCGCCACATTTGCGCCGTGCCGGCGCCACTTGCGGAGCTGTTCCGCGCACACGTCGCTGTCAGCTGTGTGAGCCTGCACAAAGTCATTCAGTTCCCGGTAGTCCAGCACCGGTCGAACTTTCCCCCGATTGCGCTGCTCCACAGCCATTAGCGGCACCAACCCTTTCGGCGGCCCCTGCCGCCGCTCGTCATACGGCACGAGCCACTCCCGCTCTATCCAGTCGTCAAGTTCTGTCTCGAACTCGTGACGAGCGGCGGGCGGCACAGCATACTGCGGCACAGCGTTCGTGAGGCACTGGGGTCCGATCCCATCGGACCATTTCCATGCAACCGACCACTTCCGGGCAGCCGCGTTGAACTGCACCCGGAAGTCCGGCGTCTCAATGTCTGGCGGCGCACGACACACTGCTCCACAGAACCGCACCACAGAGGGGGACAGCACCGTCACGCCCCCGAGAGCCGAGATACCGCTGACCCCGAGCACCATGTCCACGCCGAGCGGCCGCTCCTCCACCACCAGCGTTTCAAGCGCGGCACGATGGCCCGTCGGCGCCTCGACCGTTACACTGCCAATGCCGCTGCATTTCAGGTCGTCTCCGCTGATCGTAGTGACGCGCACCACCCGTCGTCTCCACTGCGCACAGAATGGCGCGTAGATGATGGTGTCGGTGCTCCCGGTGTCGATGAGGACCGTGCACTCTCGTCCGTCCACGTGCAGGCGTGTAATCGGCAGCGCACCGCTCACTGTCGCACAGGAGAGAACGGCGGTGCTGACCCGTCCCCTCCGGCTCCGTTTTCCGACCGACGCGGACATCTCGCAGCAATATGGCCGGGCTCTCCACAGGTCCAGCATCTCAGCGGACGCGGACCGCGCGGAGGCCGTCCACGCGTCGGCCCCGGCGGCTGGCCGGGTCCAGGCGCCGCAGATGGGTGGCTAGCCGGCGGCGGCACAGTCCGACGCGCCGCTGCTGCTGCTGCGGAGAGCCGCTCGTCGGTCAGCACAGCGCGAGCGCGCGCCAGCACCGATGACAGGTCCAGTCCATCTGCCCGGCAGCCAGCGCGGATCATCTGCCGGACGCTGTCCGGCAGGCCTGTCACGAATGCGCAGGCCAGCGCTCGCTCCGGCACTCCTCCGAACAGCGCCGCCAGCCGGCGGAGGTCAGCGAGGAATACGTCCGCCGACTCTCCTGGCATCAGTCGCCGAGCGGCGAACGCTTCATAGGCGGCGTACTCATCGAGAGCAAACGCCGCCTGGAGGGCGTCTCTCACGGCCGTCAGCGAGCAGCGACTGGCCGCCGGCAGCTGGGACCATACGTGGAAAGCACCGCCAGCGAGGCGCAGAGGAATCACAGTCTCGGCGGCCACTCCCCTCAGCTGGCACAGCATCTCAGCACGCGCCAGCCAGCTGACCACATCTTCGGTCCCGTCAAACTCCGGTATCAGCCGCGCATCAAAAGGTGCCGACGGTACCGCGACCACAGGCTGTGAGACGGTTGCCGAGTCTGTCACACCACCATCACCAACCGGCACCGGCGCTGTCACCGGTCGCGGGACGATTGTCGGCGCCACTGCACTTGCCATCACCGGAACCTGGTCCAATGACACTGTCACGTTCGTCGCCATAATGCCGAAATAGCTTGTATTTAAACTCGCACCGAAATAAAACCGACTTCGCAAAAACAACGCTCGGCGGCCGCCCCCCGCCGCTCCCTCCCGCGCTCCCTCTCGCTAACGACTCGCCGCTGATACATTTTCCACAACAAATCCCAGCCGCACGCGACAACTCGCACGCGCGCCGTGCACCGGACGCGCCTCCGCACAGCGGCAACTACAGAATATAATCACAACATACCTATGTGAAACAAAAAACACACAAAACAGCGCGGTAGAGCATTTGTTGATGTGCGCCACCAATGTCAGTACAGCATCATATATGTCTCTTTCAAGTAGCACGTAGCTTGCAGTGATGACGTCATGTCCCGTGACGTAAATCGACCGCCGACGTCATAAGTCTGCTGATAAATAAACGGGGTGCGAACAGAGCTCTGACAACGGCGTGACAACGTCATCCGACCATGCATTTGAATGTCATCACAACGTTTCTGTAACGTGGCCGTGACGATTCCAGGACAAATCTTCGTATGGCATTTCTTCGTCGCGCAATTCTTCGTACGCATTTCTTCGTCCGCAAATCTTCGTCGGCGCATTTATTCGTGTCGCATTATTTCGTCTCGCATTTCTTCGTAAGCGCAAATATTCGTAGCGCATTTCTTCGTTTCCGCATTTCTTCGTCGGCGCATTTCTTCGTCAAGCATTTTTTCGTCCACGCATTTCTTCGTCTACGCAAATCTTCGTCCGCATTTCTTCGTCCACGCAAATCTTCGTCTACGCATATCTTCGTCCGCAAATCTTCGTCCCCGCAAATCTTCGTCCGCAAATCTTCGTCCGCATTTTTTCGTCCACGCATTTCTTCGTCTACGCAAATCTTCGTCCGCATTTCTTCGTCCACGCAAATCTTCGTCTCGGCAAATCTTCGTCCGCAAATCTTCGTCCGCAAATCTTCGTCCGCAAATCTTCGTCCGCGAATCTTCGCCCGCAAATCTTCGTCCGCATTTTTCGTCCACGCATTTCTTCGTCCACGCAAATCTTCGTCCGCAAATCTTTGCTCGGGGTTACATGAGCAGAGTTAATACGCATTACAAACGGACTACAATGGTGAGCGAATAGGAAAATCCGTTCCTGATACGCATTTACTTGCTCATGTAACCCCGGTGTTTGTCTGCGCATATTTGCGTCCGCAAACCTTTGTCTGCGCTATCTTCGTCTCCGCAAACATTCGTCCACAAATGTGGTTCAATAAAACCATGAAGAAATATCAGACCATCAAGTGAATGACAAATTTAATGCATGGAATGGATGATCGATACTTTTGAAGTCAGGTAGATGAGGTCAGTCAGGTGAAGCTATTGTATTTGGGAGCCGACAATTGTAACATTCTATATCATTTGTGTCCCGGACATTCTTTTTTTTTCGCGGTCGATGAATGACAATATAATCTCTTGTACCCTCGCCGGCATAGGCGGCGGAACGGGGAGGGCACCGTTCCCCTCTTTCATTTTGGCCTTTTAACAGTAGCCCTATGGTCGTTGCATGGAAAGAATGGGACTGAAAGTCGGCAGTGCCGTGCCCCCCCCCCCCCCTTAATTGAAGGTGTTCCGCAATCCGCCGCTACTGATCGCCGGACCTATTTGTTTTCTACATACACGCCGGCGGAGGGGGGGGGGGACGGGTACGACCCCCCCCCCCATCGCCGTTTCGCCACTGGTGGAGCTAGCGCGTCGCGGAAAACACGAGCGTGTGCGCCGTTACGAGACGCAGAGATTAATACCCGATTTTAAGGCCTTCTAGGTCAGGGGTCGGCTTACGGCCCGCGGGCCGGATCCGGCCAGGTGGGTGACGGTTGGATCCGGCCCGCGACCATCTGACGTCCGGCCCGCGGCTGGTATCAGCGACTTACATCGTGTTCCGGCCCGCGGTTCCTTCAGAAATCGACTCCGATATAAAAGTGACTTAAATGTGCTTTGGCACAATAGTTCTTCCTTCGTACACTTCATGAGTTTATAAACACCATTTGCGGGTGTTTTTGTCTAATTCTACTTCTAGACAAAACTTGCAACGGTAAGATTTGGTCAGCAGCTTTTGCGCGCAGCGCATCAACGACTGCTGGCTGCGTGCACTTGGCGGCTTCACGTGGTCTACTCGTTTAACCTTCCAGGCGGTGGGGGGGGGGGGCATCCCCCCCTTTAGTTTTTTTCGATATATCTCCAGAACCGCTGCGCCGATCGTCACCAAACTTTCAGTATCCTCCCGTGAATAGCTATTGCACATTGTGAGTCTGTGACCAAATTTTTTCCAAAGGGTATGATAGGTTGGCCGCTAATGACGTCAGAGTGACGTCATTTCTGCCATTTTCGACCCAAAAAAGGTTTTGCGGGAAGAGCTGTCAGGCCTACAGCTTTAGAGATACAGAAAATGTTTCAGACATTTCGTCTAGGCCCCGGTCAAGATGTCTCGATTCGCGGCCAGACTTGCAAAACATAGCCCGGAGAAGGACCGCTCCGGTTGTTTTTCAATAGAAAAACACAATTCTAACGAATAGTGTTTGTCTTTTCAAACAACCTGCGGTTATAAAAGGTGTGGAATTATTAGGGCAACAAAACTGCTATCTCGGATTTTTCAAATTTTTGGATTTCGACCCCTAAAAATAAAAATAATTTTTTTGAATATAAGAGCCGAAAAATCCAAAAAGTTTTCTGAATTCCGAAAAACGGAATAGGTATATGTGATAGATCCCTACCGCCTTCTATCTCCATATTAAATTTGAGATCGATACCTCTTTTTTGGCCAAGCTATAGGTAGCGAAAAAACTGTTCAAAATTGATGACGTCAAATTTTCAAACTCAATATTTAGCAATTCTAGACATCGTAGCGCAAAACAAAGACCACCATTAGACTCCCCGTGATGAGCTGCATCGAATCATTACCCATTTAGGTAATGCAAATCTAACAGCCGGTATGCCGACCCCTGACCTAGAAGGCTTTAAAATCGGGTATTAATCTCTGCTTCTCGTAACGGCGCACACGCTCGTTTTTTCCGCGACGCGCTAGCTCCACCAGTGGCGAAACGGCGATGGGAGGGGGGGGGGTCGTACCTGCCCCCCTCGGCCGGCGTGTACCTATGTAGAAAACAAATAGGTCCGGCGAGCAGCAGCGGCGGAACACCTTCAATTAAGGGGGGGGGGGGCACGGCACTGCCGACTTTTGGTCCCATTCTTTCCGCATGCAACGCCCATAGGGCTACTGTTAAAAGGCCAAAATTAAAGAGGGGAACGGTGCCCCGGTGCCCTCCCCGTTCCGCCGCCTATGCCGGCGAGGGCACAAGAGATTATATTGTTGTCATTCAACGACCGCGAAAAAAAGAATGTCCGGGACACAAATGATATGGAATGTTACAATTGTCGGCTCCCAAATACAATAGCTTCACCTGACTGATCTCATCTACCTGACTTCAAAAGTTTCGATCATCCATTCCATGCATTAGATTCGTCATTCACTAGATGGTCTGATATTTCTTCATGGTTTTATTCAACCACATTTGTGGACGAATGTTTGCGGAGACGAAGATAGCGCAGACAAAGATTTGCGAACGAAGATTTGCGGACGAAGATTTGCGTGGACGAAGAAATGCGTAGACGAAAAATGCGGACGAAGATTTGCGGACGAAGATTTGCGGACGAAGATTTGCGGACGAAGATTTGCGGACGAAGATTTGCGGACGAAGATTTGCGGACGAAGATTTGCCGGGACGAAGATTTGCGTGGACGAAGAAATGCGGACGAAGATTTGCGTAGACGAAGAAATGCGTGGACGAAAAAATGCGGACGAAGATTTGCGGACGAAGATTTGCGGGGACGAAGATTTGCGGACGAAGATATGCGCAGACGAAGATTTGCGTGGACGAAGAAATGCGGACGAAGATTTGCGTAGACGAAGAAATGCGTGGACGAAAAAATGCTTGACGAAGAAATGCGCGTACGAAGAAATGCGGATACGAAAAAATGCGCTACGAATATTTGCGCTTACGAAGAAATGCGAGACGAAGTTATGCGACACGAATAAATGTGCCGACGAAGATTTGCGGACGAAGAAATGCAGACGAGGAATTGCGCGACGAAGAATTGCCATACGAAGATTTGTCCGGTTACGGGCCGTGACGTCCCAAAACTGTTCTTACAACGTCCCGCCAACGTTATGAAATGTTTTCTGTAACGTACCAACAGTGTTTCTGGAACGTTGTCACCACGTTTCCGCAACGTGACTACAAGGAGTATAGAACGCTTTGGCAACGTCTCTGCGACGTTTTTATCACGTGAGCACCACGTTGTCGCTACTTCGTATTGCCGTCCCTGCGACCCTGAGTAAACGTCCTAAACATTTTTGCAACGCCCTCTCAACGTGTTTGCAACATACTCAGAATGTGTTTCCGACGCTCTCTTCCCGTTCTCTAGACTTGTAAAAAAAGGCATGTAAGAAGTGTATATTTCAATACATCATACAGGCCAATTTACAAAAAAAAAAACGACGGCGGCGGCATCGGTGATGGGGCATGGGGCCCAGGGGCGCCCCCATGGGGGCGTGGGACGGAATTGGGTTCTACCGGCTCTGGCGCTAGCCGCTAGCACGCCAGAACTGGTGGAAGTTCACTTCTTCACTAACCCTCGCTGGGAGGATCACTCGGCGGACCGTTAGGCACCGGCTCATTTGCGGCCTCGATGTCCCTAGGCAGCTGGCAGTGCCTGACTAGACGGTCTGCGCACCCCCCGTTC